AGAAAAACTTTAATATAACAGCAAATGTACAACGTTTCGACAAGGTTTTATCATCATCAGGTACGAAACGTCGAAACGTTGTACATTTGCTGTTATATTAAAGTTTTTCTTCATTACCTATTCAAGCCGTCTCCAGCCATTATTAGTCTCAAAGTGGGTTCCTCGTCATCGAATTTCAACAGCTTATATATTATACGTAATGATATTGGAATAAAGTATAACAAAGATGAGATGAAGAGGGTAAAATTTTACCAGCGTTAATACAGGATTCAGAACTTATTATATAAATATATATGTTATTAAGTACTTAATAGTAGGAATTGGCAAGGATTCCAAATAATTGACGCGCCGAAAAACCACTCTATTGAATTCCTAAGCGAAAAACCGACCATTCAAACTATTGGTTACGATATATTATGCGCATATATACTAATAATACGCTAAAAAGGTCGCTAACATTTCCGGTATAACAATTCAAAAATTTATAAAACAGCAACGTTTTCGTCTACTACCTACCTACCTGATCACGTCAGCGAGGCTAGCGCCTAGACAGCTCGGACTATCGCTACAAGATTTCTCCAGCTTACTTGACTGGTCTGTGGGTATCCGCTTTTCATATTCCGGTAAGTATATACAGATGTTTTATAAATGGTAAACATATCATGCACGTACTTAAACATCTTTTCAACCCAATAGATGGCGCGACATATTTCGATATGACACGCGCCAGTTTTTAAGGGTAAAATATGTACTTTATACAGGTATAACATAAAAAGTAAACAAGCAAGAGTATTGAAAAATTATGAATTTTAAAATGAAGTAGATATATTGCTACAAAAAGTAATGAAACAGGAATTAAAACCACAATCACAAATTTATAGAATTTAATCCCCATACTGCTTCATTTAGCTATACGGATTGCAATGCCATCTAAAGTAGGGATTGAAAATTGTTTTATAATCCATCCAACTAGTATCACTATAATTGTTTGTGTACTTTTTTATTGTAGCATTTATTTTGCTTTGGGTACTTTTATAACAATTCTACGAATAACCAACGATTGCAAATTTCCGTTAATATATTATTATTATTTTCCTATATATATATATATATATAAGGCGCACATTAATTGAAAAACAGTTGAAAAGAGAGGGTAGTTGCCTGTTTTAGATTTCGGAAAGCTGCATTTATATATCGGCAATTGAGAAGTTGGAGCTAATACAGTTGGAATGAAGCACCGTTTAAGACACAACGAGAAATATAAGAAAAACCGAAACACATTAAGCGTACGAGGAGAATATACACAGGTTTTTTTTTATAAAAATGTCGAGGTAACACACTCAGACCTTTGTTATTTAATATGTAAGCATCATATTTCGACGATTGGATGATTTTGTTTCTCTTCCTGTTGCTCTACGGCTATCTGGTTTAACCGGCCCTAATCTAGAATTGATAGACTAGAAGGATGGAAGCATTAGTAAACTCCACCAACTCTTAAACTACTCTTTACCAGCGAAAAGTGGGATGGATCGCACTTTATAACGCCCCCACAGGCAAGAATGAGTATGTTCAGTTAGGGGCTTCGAATTCGTGATCCACAGATTGCTAGTCGAGCATCCTGACCACCAGGCCATGTTAAGTCACTTTCGAATGAGAAAGCATAATATATATATGTGGGGTAGTAATACAGAACAAGAAATTACTTATACAAATATGTGAGTAAGACAAGAGTGTCTGCCTAGTGCTTTGTTTTGTTATTTATTCTGTAGACTTAGAAGTCGAAATGAGAAAGCATGATATAGGTGGAGTAGTAATACAGAAAAATAGTATGATTTGACGATTTTACTTAACTAAGCCTCACTTTAATCCAACATATGTTAATTCTATGTGCTGATCTAAAGTATAATTTTGAATGCACTATTAATACTGTGTATTTTTTGTGCATTTTCTCCTTAGTATTATCGTTATAAATATAGTCTGTTACATATATCTTCAGATATTGGCAAGTATTCAAATCAGATTGATTTGGGCATTTCCTTTGAAATAATTAAAGTCTTGGTTAATATTTTATTCCTTCTTTACTTCTTCGAAATGAAACCAAATGTTGTTAATAACATATTCTAACCAATGAAGCTACTTTCTTGATGATGCCTTGTTACCAAGAAACTATTGTTATCTCTTTTACCTTACGATTATAAAATTATAATATTATGTTTCATCAAGGGAGTTTAAAACCTCCAGCCTACTGGTGGTTCAGCTGTAAGCTAGAGGGCTTATAACGCTACATTTCTGGGTTCAATCCTTGTGGAGCTTACAGCTTTGAACTCATTGTTTAGTTTTGTGTTTAACAACAACAGAAAAACAAAAACCTTTATTGACAGACGCTTCACTTGAGCAAACTGCCCGCCTTATTATCATGTGTTTTTGTTATTACATGACAATTGGCTTCACAAAACATTTATATTTAAAATTGAATTAAAAATGTTGCTTTTACTTACAAAAATTGGATCAAAGTGAGTTCAAAAGAGATTTTTTGTATTTAATTATGCAAAGTAGATGGGTGTGTTATTTGTAGCTTTAAAATTTTAGTTATCTCTTAGTGGCACAGTCATTTCATTAATTAATTACAAAACATTTTAGTTACAAATAACTTTCATTTAATGATTTGGAGAAAAAAACTAAGAACAAATTGTAAGTATGATTTAACGATCATTGTTATTGTAAGTATGATTTAACGATCATTGTTATTGTAAGTATGATTTAACGATCATTGTTATTGTAAGTATGATTTAACGATCATTGTTATTGTAAGTATGATTTAACGATCATTGTTATTGTAAGTATAATGACTACCTTTAATTCAAATATATCATTTTAATGACATTATAAATAACGTTGTAAATATTAAAAAGTACAAGTACGATAAGATTTCGCGAACATTATAACAAATAAAATTTTGATCTTTTAAAGATTAGCGTTGCAGCTAGGTATATATATAAAGTGTCAAATAGATTACATTAACTGAACACTCACCGTTTCTTCTTTTACTCGTTTCTTGTTTCTAATTTCTACATTGACAATGTTTAGAATAATGTCCTGATAACCTTTCTTGTCTGTTATGATCAGCGGTCTGTCATAAACACCCTCTCTAGACACCTTTTTAAAAATAAAAAAATTAACACTGAGAGGACTGAAAAAACCATTTGGTTGTAACAAAATAAAAACTCTGAACTATCGTAATTGTATTATTTAAGAATTAGTTAATTTTTAACTTACTTAGTGTGTGCCGTATGTTATTTGATGCTGTGTTTCAAACCTAGTTAATCTTCCCTTTGTACCAAATATTTTATATATATATATATATTTGTACATTTTTCTTTTAATTAATTGTTTCCCTATAAAATACGAATATACTATATATACATTTATATTAATAAAAATATTTACTATTTATAGTACTTGTACAAGCAGTTTATATTAGTTAATATTTTGGTGTAAGCAAATAACGATTATTCTTATTAAAACGTTCCAATGTTTCCATCAAATATATTTCGGGATGCGTTGATCATCCTTATCTCATAACAAAACCTTTTCACTACTATATTCCATGCTATCCAAATTTATACCTGATTAATTGCAGAAAGAAGGTCTATCTTTTTTCTTTGGTCATTCTGCTTCTCATTCATTGTCATTCCACATTCCGGGTAATCTAAAGTTGTCGGCCATGAGCCCAAGTCTAACTGTCTGGACAATGCCGTTACAGTGATAAGCGCGAGGTCAAAATAGAATGCCATGTCAGTCTATGAAAGAAGAATGTAGTTATTCTCCTTAGCATTCCTAGTAAAAGATAAAAACTTTGCTACTAATGCTGGATGATTATAACGTTAATATTATTTAGTGTTATTGATAGGACACGTTACTTGATTACCGGCTACTGAATGCCATGTCAGTCTATGAAAGAAGAATGTAGTTATTCTCCTTAGCATTCCTAGTAAAAGATAAAAACTTTGCTACTAACTGCTGGATGATTATAACGTTAATATTATTTAGTGTTATTGATAGGACACGTTACTTGATTACTGGCTACTGAACTAACCATTTATTCTTATTTATCTTTACTTATAGGAAATGCTACTTTTTATTAGTTATAATTCCAAACTATAGCTCTCAGTTACCTTCAGTTATGAGAGATATAACTATACCACTGTTAGGCAATTACCGAATTAATTTCAATTAGCTTTTATTATAAGATATATAACTTTATCATTAGTTACAGAACTATCCTTTCAGTTATAGGTCATATAGTTTCTTCATTGATTAGAGGACCAACCAAATGTTTTCATTAAGTTTCAATTATAAAAGATTCTACTAATCATTGGTTAGAAAATAATCCAATAATTTTCATTCATCTTCACGCACGAGATATAAATTGAACGTTCTGTAGAACAAGTTAAAACTATTTCGCTGCTAGTATAAAAATTATTATTAAAGCGTATAGCTTTATCACAAATAAATGTCACTGTTTCTGAACATACCTACCAAGTTATCTCCTCACCTGAGTAGGAACACTGTTGCCAACAATCTTAGGTTCAATTTCTTGAGGAGAAAAAATCATGAAGTTTACACTGGTACAGTTGCATGTTAACTGCCGAGCGTCGTCCTGGGGACACAAGTAATATAAAGTTAATAATCGTCTATAAAAATATATCTTAATACAGCTCACTGGTACAGTTGCAAGTTAACTGCCGAGCGTCGTCTTGGGGACACAAGTAATATAAAGTTAATAATCGTCTATAAAAATATATCTCAATACAGCTCACTGGTACAGTTGCAAGTTAACTGCCGAGCGTCGTCCTGGAGACACAAGTAATATAAAGTTAATAATCGTCTATAAAAATATATCTTAATACAGCTCACTGGTACAGTTGCAAGTTAACTGCCGAGCGTCGTCCTGGGGACACAAGTAATATAAAGTTAATAATCGTCTATAAAAATATATCTTAATACAGCTCACTGGTACAGTTGCAAGTTAACTGCCGAGCGTCGTCCTGGGGACACAAGTAATATAAAGTTAATAATCGTCTATAAAAATATATCTTAATACAGCTCACTG